CAACTTCCCCAGCTTGGCCTCCAGCGGCGGGGGAGGGATGAGAAGAATGGGAGGGAGGGAGGCGGTTCTTAGCCGGGGTCCCGCTGCGCCGAGTAGGGTCGGCTCCGTCCGGGAAGAGGAAGCTGAGCCTGGGTAAGGGGGAAGAGGACGCGCGTTGGGAATCCGCTTCGAGCTTGTGCGCCCGGGGCTAGGGATGGTACCGGGTGCCCTGCCTCAACCCTACTCTTCCGTCGGGTCAGGGCAGCCAGGGGCCAGGAGTCTCGTGCCCAGTGTCACCTGGAAGCCACTTTTTCTGGTCTTTTTTCTGCTGGTCCACACAGCGAGTAGAAGCTTAAGAATTGGAGTTGGCGGCTGAGGGCGCGGAGAGGCAGGGAGCAAACTGTTACTCTGGGCCCACGGGCCCAGCGGCTTTAACTTCATTTAATCCTAACTATAGCCCTGCGGAGAGGCACTTACGACTCCATTTTACTGATAAAAAAGCCCACGCCAGGATGATAAATGACTCACCCTGGGGCAAAGCGCTGAAAAAAGAGACGCTAGTCGAGGGGCTCCGAAACCCTCAGGCGTCTACCTCTCTTCCTGTTCCCTCTCCAGCCTTCACGTGCAAGTCTGGGGAGCGCGCGCTGCTGGGCTGTGATGACACAGGTGATTCTTCTTAAAGACTACCTCTGCTCCTGCTCCTTTCCTGGGTTTCTTTTTGGTTTTGTCTTGTTAGCACGCAATTTCTGTTTTTGTCTCTCTCTCTCTTTTTTTTTTTTACGGGAAGGAGGTAATTAGGTTTATTTATTTACTTATTTAAGTGGAAGTACTGGGGATTGAACCCAAGAGCTTCTGCATGCTAGGCAGGCACTCTACCACTGAGCTATCCCCTACCCTGTTAGCACCCAATTTCTGATTTAAATTTTTCCAATTTTTGTTTATTAGCTTTTCAAGGTGGAAGAAGCTCTCGCTCACAACTCTTTACCCCCTCCTTGCAGCCCTTTCTCTCGATGCGGAGGAAAACCCAGAGACCTTTGCCCGCCACACACTCCTGTTTTTCCCGGTGGATGAGGTCGCCTGTAGATCCGGGCTGGGCTTTACGGGCTTCCCGGTTGAAGGTGAGTTTTGTAGCCACTTGGCATCCCACACACCCTTGGGTTTGTTGTTTCTTTCTGAAGAGAAGAGAGTCTTCATTTTACAAATAGTAGAACAAAAGGCAAATTGGGAGGCTGTACCTTGTGCAGGGAAAGCATGGTGCCTTGAGATAAGAAAAAGCCACAGCTTTTTGTGGTCTGTATTTGGTGAGTGGTAAGCGGGGCACCCGGTTAGGGACTTGTATGCCACTCTGGGCACTCTGAGCCCCCTTTTAGAGCTGTCTGAAAGGCAGGTTTGTTTTATAGAGGGGAGAAGGAGGGCTGAATGGTTTTTCAAGATCAGTGTAAATTACCTGCTGGGAGCCCAGGCAGTTCCAGATGCCCCCAACCCGCCGTTCCTGCCAGAGGTTTTGGTAACAGATTTCAGTTATGGCAAGAAGGAAAACCAAGCTCTGTGGATATCTGCTATTGCTTAGTGGATTTTTGGAGGTCTTCAGGATGGTAGCTGTGGGAGACTTTTGAGTTCTTAGAAATGGCGAACTCCTCTGTTCAAAACAATGTAGCATATGGTGAATTTACTTTTACAAAGTTTTACTGGTAGATGAAAGAAGTTGGTGGGCTCCCCCTCCCCCCATTTCCTGGTGAGGGTTTAAAGGTTGCCTGTCAACATCTCTGCCCTTCCTTCAGCCTGACCCTGGAAAGAACCCTCTTAGCCTTGGCCCCAAATATGCACTGGATTCCGTCCGTCATTAATTATAATTTATCCTTGATTGGCTAGAGGACTACTTCAAGTCACAGGTTGCTTTTCCACTTGCAATTTAGTTGCTTAACACTGAAAAATGTTTTCCTTGAGAACAATCATCTATCTACGATATCAACTCTACAGATCTGTAGGGACTGAACAGGTAATGCGTGGGAGAGCGAGATGGACCTTGGTTGGTTCCCAGATGACCCACAGAGGACCTGCCATCATCTGGGTGGGTGTCAGCCATTCTTTCCCCATAACTGTGCAGGAATTCTGGGCCACTGTGGCCAGAGCGCCTCTCCTCTGCCCCACCCCTACCCCCAACGAGCTGAAAAATTTTATTTTTTTAAAAAAAATGAAGCCTGATTTTAAACACTGGCTTTTTCTTCTTTTTAAACACAAAGGATGAAACCAAATCCGGTTCACGTGTCATCTATTTTCAGATTTTTTAGAAACTGCTATGCCTAGTGATTACATTCTCAAGTGAATAAAAAAAATCTGACCTATGATAGAAATATTGTACATTTTTCATGAAAGAAGATGGTAGGAAGCAAATTAATACTATTGAGAATGATTTCTTATGATTCTCAATGTCTGTTTTCTGTGAAGTGCACATTAGTTCACTGAGTAGTCTTTTTATGGTCCAACCAAGGATGTATGTCACTATTCATAGGTCTAACTCAGCATGTCAGACACCTAACTCCCTGCCTTAAAAAGGGAGTTCCCAAATGACTATTCTTATACATCAGGTGTGTTTCTCCTGGGGCCTGTCTGTATTCTGAACCATGGTGGCTTTGACACAAGAGGTGTGGCTTAGGGTTGTCATATATCCTTGTTGTCTATCTGTGGCAAATGCATGTATGATTAGACCAGAGTTTCTCAACTTTGGCACTTTTGACATTTTTGGCCAGGTAATTTGCTGTTGTGGGGATTGTCCTGGGCATTGTAAGATGTGTAGTAGTGTCCCTGGCTTGACCTACTGCATGCCATTAGTCCCCTCCCTCTAGTTATAACAACCAAAAATGTCTCCAGACAGTGCCACATGTCCCCTGGGGAAGAGAGTCACCCAATTGAGAAAAAAAAATGAGCTAGTATTTAAAATGCTCTAGACATTTATTAACTAACCTGTAAACTAAACACAATTAACTTTAAACTTCTTATGACTAGAGAAGCTATTTGTAAAGTTGAAACATCTGACATTTAAAATATTTTTGTGATAAAGGTGACTAACTGATGTTCTTCGTCAACGGCCCTGTGTGTCCTGCCAGGTTTCACCTCCAAAGAAATTTCATGAGTTTGATGCAGCTGTAAATTTCTAAAGTTTAAAATGTGGAAGCTAAAAAGGAATTCTGCAGTGGTTTTCATTTTTCTGTTTTTAGTATACTCGATGTCTTTCAATTTTTTTTTAAGGTGATGGAGGATCAGTGGACCATGGTTATTGATTTGGAAAAATTGACAAAATCCCTGTTATTAAAATGCCAAACAAAAAATTCTAAGCAAAAATTTTAGTAATGAGATGCAATGTAAATCATGTTCAGAGTAGAATTTAGTTTTAAAAGAAATTAAAACCTTTTTACCTCACAGCAGTAACTAAGACAACCATATATTTCTGTAGTCTGAGAAATCTTGACTTTATGAAAGAGAACTCTACATTATATTGATATAACTTATCAGAAGAAAACTTACCTTTTTTAGATCTTACCTTGGGAGGTTGAAAACATTGCTGTAGTTACGAACAATGCATCCTTAACTAGGGATTGGCTATTCATTGGGCCCCCTCCAGAAATCAGGCTCATTGGTAAGACTTGGGACTGGCTACATAATTTGTGGGGCCCCTTGTTTAAACATGATGAAGAATTTCAAGACGGCAACAGGCAGCTGAGCATTAAGCAAAGCGCACCCAGGAAGCTGGCCCTGGTCAAACTCTGTCCATAGCTCAAAAGAGGATTGGATCACAAATGCAAATCCAAAGAAGGAAGTGTTCCTGCTGCTATGAAGTGCCCAGAGTTTCTGATTCATTGATTGTCCTGATGTTTCCAATCAGAAGTCTACATGTATCTGATAATCAGTGCACTCAGTTTACTAAGAACTTCATCCCATGATTAATTTTTCTTTTACTAAGGAGGGGGCCAAATTGTTAGTGAGGATCCTGGGTACCTGAGTGACTTGTTTATTCATTAAAAAACTACTTACTGAGCACCTGTTAGATACCTGGCAGTGCCAGCTCTGGGGCTATAGTTGTGAATTAGGTGTGTGTGTGGGGGAAGGGGTAGTCCCTACCTTTATGAACCATTTAGTCTAGTGGCTCAAGGAGCGGGGACAGACACGCACATGGTCATTAGGCCCTCACAGTCATATGTGGTACTTCAGAAAAGCACAGATGTCCGGAGACCATTTAACCTGGGGACCTAACCTAGTTTAGGGGAAGGGTTGGTTCCCCTAAAAAGAGATATTTAAAATGAGGCCTTAAAAATGAGTAGGAAGTAGTCTGGTGAATTAGGATTTGAAGTTCCAGACTGGAATGGTTGAGACCAAGGAAGGAATGTGACTTAGGATGAGGCCTGTGGGCCACTTTTTCGGACAATGGACTTTAGTGAAAAGGTAGTGGGAACTTACTGAAAACTTTTCAGTTGGAGATGAGATGCTTTGATTTGGATTAAAAACAATCATTGTCACTGCTGTGTTTGGAGGGGTGGGCTCTGTTGGCACATATAGTGCCTTTGGGCAAACCAGAAAGAGGCTTCCCTTCTGGATAGACCAGTTAGAAAAGATGCACTGCTTGTCCCACTAGGTCAGGCCAGAGGCAGCCCCCTGAGCCAGTCACTGTGCGTGGGCACCCTGGGGAGCAGGGAATGGGCTGTGGTGGTCCAAAAGGCTTTTGCAGTCACCCAGGGATAGAGAGGGAGCAGGGGAACAGGGAGAAAGAGAGACTGACTTTGTAGTTGAAACCAGTACAAAGGTAATGTATATAGTTGATGGAGAGGGTGATATCAAGGATGATTTCAAAGTTCGGCATAAATAACCAAGTGAGATAGGATGGTGAAACCATTTATGGACAAAGGACACTAGAGAAGAAGTGGGTTCACACGAGGTTGGGGAGGGAAGATAATTCCATTTGGATGTGTTTGCTTGTGAGACATCCAGGTGGAGTCGGGAAGTAGGCAATGGGAACTCCTGAAAGAGATCTGGGGTGGAAATAGCTGTTTGGGAGGTGTTGCAAATAAATAATCATTGCATATGAGAAAAATCATCCATTGCTCACCTACCTCAGTCTGTAAGAGCATGAGATGCTTAAAAAAGATCATCCAAAGAGGGGTATGGAATGGGAAGAGAATGGGGCTGGCCCTGCAGAGTTTGAGCATTGTGCTTGGAGGAAGAGGAGAAGCTGTTGAAGACTACTGGGAAGCCAGATGCACATGCAGGTTAGGGAGAAAATGTGAGATCTGTGGCTCTTTTTCTTTTTCTTTTTGATTTGTCTTTTTCAAATTGAGACTGGGGAGACTTGACCATGTTCTAATGCTGTTGGGAAGTTTCTGGTTAAGAGGGAGAGGCTACAGATGTGGAAGTGAGGGATGAATGCTAGGGCCAGATTTCAGACAAGATGAAAGGGTGGCTTCCAGAGCACAGGCCTGGAAGTTGGGCTTTGCTGGGAAGTGGGGGTGGGGGGGAGATGGATAAAGGGTCCTTAGATTTGGGGACCAGAATTGTGAGGACTTCACTTTTCCCTGGAGAAGGAGGCAAAACCATCTACCAGGTTCGGTGTACTTGTTTGTGAAGTGAGAGATTTCGTCACGCCAATATTTATTGAGCTTTTTCTTTTTTAAGTGACACTCATTTATTTATTTATTTATTTTTTTTTTGAGAGGAGATAATTAGGTTTACTTGTTTGTTTGTTTATTTAATGGAGGTACTGGGGATTGAACCTAGCACCTCGTGCATGCTAAGTACAGGCGTTGCCACTGAGCTTTCCCCTCCCGGACTTGGTGAGCGTTTTCTAGTGCCGCACACCGTGGTAGGCTCTCTGGATGGTGTTAGGAATGCTGTTGTTACCATTAGTTTTGGCCCTTGTGATACAGTAAGAAATTGTCTCTAGTTCCTGACACAGAGTTTCTAAAACCCTTGGCATTTCCTGAGAGATAAGGATGATAAAAACATCTTTTGTTATTCCCGGAAGATCTCCTTTCCACACCTGGGCTTATGCTAATGAGGTGGCTTAGGTGTGTGTATGGAGGGTAGTGCTGGGGGAGGCCCTAGGTAGCCTCAGGATGGGACTGGTCAC